ATATATATATATATATATATATATATATATATATATATATATATATATATATATATATTTAATTTATTTTATTATTTTTTATTTTTTGGGATGAAACAAAAAAAATAAAAGCAGGAGGTCTTATAGGAGATGAAAAGGACATTGATGTGATTTATTTGGATATGGTGCAAGGGATGTGAATGCCCATAATGTAATACAACCAGGCACACAGCCAACCACCCAATAAAACTATTAAATATATCTATCTTATTTAAAATGATTTATTCCACTCAAATATATAATGATTTATTCTTAAAATTTTAAAATAATTATTAACATTATTGCTAAATAAATTCTAAACTCTACCATCTATAATATACTAATAAAATTAAAATATTTAAAATTATTTTTTAATAATAATTAAGTATTGATTAAACATAAATATTTTTTATTTATCTGAAATTTTAGAATTAAAGTCAAATATGATGGGTATGAATTGAATGCTAGTAATTTAGTATGGCTACGCCAACTGAATGGACAAGAGAAGGATCAACAATGACGGCCGCCATATTGCAGGTGGAAATGCTACATTTAATCTCGGGTTAAATGCGTGGTTAAGATTAGATTTGATTTAGTTATACCAGATTTAGTTATATCTAATTTGATTAGTCCGGATTCTGTATCGAGAGATTTCTCCCTCCATTCCGAGACTTTCTTTATTATTTTTTACTCCTTTAAAAAATTCAAATATAAAAAATTAATGGTATGATCGTTATCTAGCGATTTAGATCTTATGAATATTTGATTTGTGGATGAAAATATAGTGCAGTAAATATAATTTTACACTCAAGAACAGAAAGTAAATCTAGAGTATAAATGTGGTTTCGTAGCAATATAAAAAATAAAACTTTATAATTTAATAAGTAAGACTTTTAAAGCCTAATTAGCCCAAATTATTGGAGGAGAAAGAGAAATACCAACTTATTATTACTGTCAACCGTCTATTGACACGTTATGATTTATCTTGAAACTTTTGAATGTTCATGAGTATTTTTGAAGCATAGTATTAACGGTATATATATATATATATATATTTTTTTTTTTTTTAAGTTTTAATAGAGTACTCAATTTTCACCCAAAACTAACTATAATTATATTTTTTCGATTTTTTTTTTAATTTAAGGGATTATAGAAACTTCAGAAAGTTTGTTTCATTAACTTATTTTTTAAAAAAATATATTGTTTCATTAAACCAAATAACTTATTTAGAAAGAAAAAAAAAAGAATAAAATAAAAACTCCCGAAAATGGACGTAAGTATACATAAAAATTCATTATGGAAATTTAATTTTATTTATTAATAGTACTTTAATTATACTACAATCAACTGTACAGAAAAACCCCGAATTTTCGCTCCACCTTCGTCAGCCACGGCGGCGCTGCGGCCTATAAATACCTCCTCATCCATAACCTTACCTCCAAACACAAAACCCATCTTCAAATATGGGGTCTGAGGTCCAACAGATTAACGGCACAAAAACGAAGACATTGGTGGTGGCGCCTCCGCCATCGCCGCAAGTAGCAGTGGCGATTTGCTTGTTGAGAGATAAATCGGTGCTAATGGGGCGTCGACTTGTATCGATTGGCAACTCTAAATATTCTCTCCCAAGTGGCCATCTTGAATTTGGTTCGTTTTTCTATCTCATTGTTGTTAGAAATCACGACTGTCCACTTTGAGCATAAGCTCTCGTGGCTTTGCTTTGGGATTTCTTAAAAAGCCTCGTATCAATGGAGTTAGTATTCCTCACTTATAAACTCATGATCATTTCTTAAATCAACTGATGTGGGACTTCCATCCTCCAACGATTGTGTCTAAATACTAACATATCTCTACGTATATTGTCCACTTTGAATATAAGCACTCGTAACTTCACTTATAAACTTGTGACACTGATTTTTTTGGTTTTTAGGTGAGAATTTTGAAGAATGTGCTGCAAGAGAGATGAAGGAAGAGACGGGGCTGGATATTGAGAAGGTTGAGTTTTTGAAAGTGACCAATAATTTGTTTATGGACCAACCAACGCCGGCTCACTATGTGGTGGTGTTCGTGCGGGCGGTGTTGGCTGATCCCATGCAAACGCCGCTCAATCTTGAGCCTGACAAATGTGGTGGCTGGGATTGGTATGAATGGGATAGTCTGCCCCAACCACTCTTTGGTCCCATCAAAGCAATGGTTATGGAGGGCTTCAATCCTTTCACGTAATAACGAGCTAGGCACGGTCGAGCTGGGTTGGATCAAGATGTATTAGTCGTCAACATGGAAACGAAAAGGGAGATAAGAACAAAAAGCTTTTTTCTTAATTGATATCGGTTTATAATAGTAATTAATGTGTTGTTTGAAGAACTTTAACTCATCTGAGTTACGATTGTTAGACGAACACGACTCTCCACAATAGTATGATATTGTCCACTTTGAGCATAAGCTCTCATGGCTTTGCTTTGGGCTTCCCCAAAAGGCCTCATACCAATGGAGTTAGTATTCCTCACTTATAAACTCATGATCACACCCTAAATTAGTCGATGTGGGACTTCCATCATCCAACAACGATAACGTTTATACAGCCATACAAGCTAATAATACGGTATCAATATACAACTAGACACAAAACCCAGTAGATTTCATTATGATTTTACAACGATTAAAGAATTCATCCAAACTTAGAAGGGACGTGTTTGTGTGGGTTCGAAATAAGTCAACTTCTAAAGATGGAGAGACAACAAAGTTGAATACTTGTATAAAAGTCAAAACATATATGGTCACCTTAATTGGAGGGTAACAATCCCATGCCATAAAGACACTAAATTGATAGTTTAAAACTAAAACAAACAACTCAGTCTCGTTTCTCGTACTTTTTGTGAGATCTCGTATCAGTTAAAGAGGAGAATAAAACATTCTTTATAATAGCGTAAAAACCTCTCCTTAAAAGATGCGTTTTAAAACCGTGAGGTGCAATATCTGCTAGTGGTGGGTTTGGGCTGTTACAAATGGTATCAAAGTCAGACACGGAGCGGTATGGCAGCGAGGACACTGGGCTTTCAAGGGAGGTGGATTGTGAGATCCCACATCGGTTGGAGAGGAGAACGAAGCATTCCTTATAAGAGTATAGAAACCTCTCCCTAACACACGGTTTTGAAACCGTGAAGTTTATTTTTGTGGGCTGGGCCCATGGATCATTCTTTGTTGGGCCGTTTCTGTTTTGTATTAGAGTTACCCAAATGGGCCTGTAATATGGACTGTGAAGGAATGGTATGAGCCCATTAATATAAGTCAAGAAAATTGGAAGAAATTATTTAAAAAATAATTGGAATGAGTAGGTATTATTTATTTAAAGATATTGAAATATTTGTATAATAATAATAATAGTATTTTAATTGAACAACCCACGTGTTTGTAAAGCATGTGGGAATAGAGAGAGAGAGAGACAAAAATGGTTGGAAACCTAGGGATCAACAAATTAAATCCAATAAATTCCACATTTTTTTTCCAAATAATAATAATATTATTAATATTATTAATATTATTTAGTAAATAAAGAGAAATAGGTTGGTAGGGTATGCTATTTTCCAGCTTTTTAAAGCTTTTTTAATGTGTTTATTGGCTCAAGGCTTCCATTTTCTTTGTTTTTTTTCCTTTGACATTTTGACATTAACGACAGTGATTCTGAGCTGTTTGTCTCATGCAGTCTCAACATCTTTTTTTATTGTCTTTTTTTTTCGTTGCCAAATTAAACCAAATAAATATAACCATTAGTATTTGATAATCCCGACATTCTTCCCCTGATGTAAAATTAGTCTAAGCAAAACACACTTAACTATGAAGTTCCTGACTGAGTCACCAAGAAGAAAAGTATAGATTGTTGATATAGGCGGTAACTTTCATTTCCTTCCTTCTTATTCATTCTATTCTCGTGATTGCTCTCATTCAAATGTAGTGTTGCTCAAATCCACTGCTAGCAAATATTATCCATTTTGACCCGTTACGTATCGACATCAGCCACACAATTTTAAAACGTTATTCCCTTGAGAACCAATGTTATCGCTAGTAAATATGCAGAGGGAGACAGAACAGTACGCAATGTCTTGACAGCGCCAGGATCCATTTAACTCGGTGCGGGTCTTAACTAAACGTGGCATTGCCTTCCTATTAAATGTTGGGACTTGTGGCACTCAAATTTTCAAACCATCAAACCAAGACAGGCAAGGACTCCTGCAGCGCAGCCATTGTGGGCCGCCGCGGCGCCCTCCCACATCCTCTGTTCTGTTTTTCGAACCCATTCCTACAAATCTCTGACATTTCATCCAAACTGGACCACCCCCCCTTCTCTTTATATCTCACCATCATAATTCCAACCTCCTCCTCTCTCAAACCCCCACAACCATGTCCAACTCCCTCCATGATTCCTCCTCCTCCTTCTCCCGCCGGTATTTCACCTGGAAAAACAAGCCCCAAGAAGAACAACACCACCAAGAACCCTTGTCCTTCACTTTGTCCTCCCGTTTCAGCGAGGAAGACAAGCAAGACAGCCTCAAGAAACCAGAGAAGAAGAAACCATCTGCTTCTAAGCTCCGGACGGCTTTAACAGTCATCGGACGGATCCGGCCGACAACCAATCGCTCCCGGCTTGGCGGCCGGGTTGTCGGTACGCTATTTGGGTACCGACGAGGACATGTCTATTTCGCGTTACAAGAAGACCCAAAACAGAATCCGACGTTTTTAATTGAGCTATCGACGCCGACGAGTGTTCTGGTGCGGGAAATGGCATCTGGGTTGGTTCGAATCGCGCTGGAATGTGAGAGGAAAGCAGAGAGGAAGAAGAATTGTAAGTTAGTAGAGGAGGCGCTGTGGAGAACGTATTGTAATGGGAAGAAATGTGGGTATGCGAGTAGAAGGGAGTGTGGGGCGGAGGAGCAGAGGATTCTGAAGGCGGTGGAGCCGATCACGATGGGGGCAGGGGTATTGCCGGCGGCGGAGGGAAGTGGAAATGGGTCGGAGGGGGAATTGATGTACATGAGGGCGAGGTTTGAGCGGGTGATTGGGTCGAAGGATTCGGAAGCTTTTTACATGATGAGCCCTGATTGTAATGGAGGGCCTGAACTTAGTATTTACTTGCTTAGGATTTGAAGTTTGATCGATCCTTTGTTTGGTTGTTCTTGAGATGCCTGAATTTCTGGGAATCGTGCTTCTGGGGAATCAATGCATTGATGGAGCAAATGGGGTATTGATTTCGATGTATAGCTCTTTTTCTTTTTGTTCACATTGGTTGTTTGAGAATCAAAAATATTTCAAAGTTCTAAGCATTTCATCTCATAAATTTCAATCCAAGACGAGTGTTGTTCTGATGTTAATCAATCTATCACAACTCGTTTTGTCATCGTCTGAATATAAAAGAAGTTATGTATCTACTTACCGTCATTTTGCCCCTACTCGATAATTCTATAGATGGTTTTTTCTGACGTTTTCTAGAATCAGAAGGAACCACTATAGTTAGGATGTTTCATTCCCTTCGATTTTATCTTTTTTTGATTTGTAGGAAGTCGCACGGAGAGCTAGTGCTTGCCATCTAAGAATTGGTCCATGGATTTCATTGTTGTTCTAATGGTTGATATTACTTGTCGTGAGATTCTACATCATTCCTTAGAAGGGTGTAGAAACTTCTCTCTCTATCGTACACATTTTAAAACCATGAGACTGATGTCATATGTAATGGGTCAAAACGGATAATATCAGCTAGCGGTGAATTTGAGCTAAATGGTATCAAAACTAGACACCAGGTGATGTGTCTGTGAGGATGCTAAGTGTAACGGTCCAGATCCACCGCTAGTCTTCCCCTCAAGGCTTTAAAAGGCGTCTGCTAGGGGAAGGGGTTCCCGGGTTTCCACACCCTTATAAATGGGTGATTTGTTCTCTTCCCCAATCAACGTGGGACATCACAATCCACCTCCCTTCGGGGCCCACCGTCCTCGCTGACACTCTTTCCTTCCTCCAATCGGGTTTCCACACCCTTATAAATGGGTGGTTTGTTCTCCTCCCCAACCAATGTGGGACATCACACTGAGTCTTCAAAGGGGTAGATTGTGAGATCCTACGCGGTTGGAAAGAAGAACAAAATATTCCCGGTAAATGTACAGACAACGATACATAATGGGTTCAAGTGAACAATATTTATTACCGATAGACTTAACTATTACAGTTAGCGATCGTTGCTAATTAACAATAATGAAAGAAGAGAAGAATGTTGGGGAGGACATTGGCACAATGATAAGGAAAAAAAACACAATGAATTGGGAGGTGGGCATGTCTTCCAATTTTGATGAGTATCTCCTTAACTCTTCTTTTATCCTCTAATTTTGGTAGCACTCACTCACTCACTCGTGGCCCCTCGCCGTTAAAACGTACCTTTATCACACCCATCTTTCAACTTTGGGACCCAAACCCATTATGCTTTTCCAACGCAACCAATAAAAGAATCTTACTCGTCCTCGCACGTTTATGTAATTTCACATTCGACCTTTACCCAACCCACATTGATACTTAAACCAATGCTCGGATCCGAGATACACACACCCAAGTGCCCTATTAGATTTCTATACTTGACATGACACAGAACGTTCTTAAGCATCAGTAGAGTTTCTCAAACTCTACCTTCTTTCCTCTTTGCCTTCAATTACATCGGGAAAACGACTCGTAAGTCTGATTATGGTCATCCCTCGTCATTAGTAGTAATAGCCACCCCAGTACGTTTTTACTACTTCTCGAGCTCTAAGCCAAATATACCTAGCTCCGTTAGCCTTTACACGAGTACCTAGATGCTATATAGGATTAATTCTTACCCTTAACAAGGGGATTAAAAGTACTTCAAAAAAAAAATAGGAAAATAATTTTTTTTTTCAACCCTTTGAAAACTGGGGACGAAATGCAACCAAAGTCAAAGTAATAATTTTGGTATTTGTTATTATTTTATTTATTGTTAATTTAATACAAATATATTTCTTGAAAATAATTTAATATGGATAATTGGAGTTACTTTATTTAGTTAATACAAATATATATAAAATAATTTAATTGCCCACTAAACATATAAAATATATATATATATAGATATATATAATTTTTAAATATAATAATAAATTGCCTCCATTAAACCGCCTTTAAAATCTAATTATTGTGGACGGTAGCAATAAAAATCAACTAGTTGCTTAAAATAATTTGAGAAAGAGAAAATAATTCATATTCCACGTCATATTTTTAAATTATTAAAATTTGAGATATTAAATTATAAAATCAATTAAAATTGGGGAAAAAAAAGGAAAAGAAAAAGAAAAAGAAAAATACCCAAGCAAATATTAAATCCATAATAATGGGAGAAAAGCAACGAAACATTTATTATAAAGGTGTAGTTTTTAATCGTGAGGCTAACAACAACACGTAACAGGTCAAACCGGACAACTTTTGCTAGGGGTGGGTTTGGGTGGTTACAAATTGTATTCAGACACGGACACTGTGCTAACGAGAACGTTGGGTCAAAGGGGGTGGATTGTTAGATTCTATATAGGTTGGAGAAGGGAACGGAACATTCTTTACAAGGGTGTGAAAACTTCTTAGTCTCGAGCCTTGGAGATCCCTAGAATAATAGCTAGGGCGTGGCAGGTATGTTTAAACCGTTCACGTACCATTCTTTTTGTTGTCGCGTTGTTAAAGAGCTGAATTAATGAAGTTTGAATTATAAAGAATTGATCACGACAAACCAAATTCTTATTTCCTTTTTCTTTCACAAATTTTAAGTTCAACCATATGAAAAAGGTTGAAAATAATAAAAAAAAATTATATTAACTTCAAATTCCATACATATTGGAACAAAATGGTTACAATTGGCTCACTTTGTATACAGTATAAATTCATTATAATTCAAAGAAATGGAAGTAAAAAGGAACAACAAATGGTGTTTCAATTGGAAGGAACAGAGTCGACGACAGAGTTGTGCCTGTCGGAAGGAGCTGAAGGAGGAATCGGAATGTTTCTGGGGAGAAAGCTGAAGATTTCGCCGCCGTATCGGAACCCTGTCTTGTAATTGAGACTGACGTCGCCGGAATCCATCTCCGGTCCCGTCGGTTTCAGCGGCCGAGTTGCAGAGCAAAACCCAGAAAGAAGAAGCAGAGCAAGAACGACAATGGCGACTGGGTTGTTTAAAGAAGAAGAAGAAGCCATGGCTGATGAAGAGAGAAAATAATTTGCATGGGAAACATTCTTGTGTATTTATGCTACTTCCTGGTTCGAATAGATTGGGTGAATTGGGGCGGACTTAGAATTTAATATCCTACGAGTTATGTTATTTGATAGAGCTAAATGTGTAAAAGCGTGCAAAAACCGAGTCAAAACACTCGTTGATTAGCGGGTTTTGTTCTTGAAGAACAGGTTCGTTTGATTTTCGTAGGTAAACTCTAAATAAATTATAAGTCTTCGCTTAAAGTCCAATATGAGATGTATTGGTATTGTATTGCCTAACTTTTTTACCCTTTTTTGGGGGGCAATTTTCCAATGACCTCATGGTTGGACTTCTTTGATTTTTTCTAACCAAATTTCTTTGACTTTCGACCACTTCCCGCTCTTCATAAATGATGTTTGGATTAGCGGGTTCATCCTCGGAATCTGACCCACTCCATGAAAACTCATTGAATAGGTCAGATGGTGATGGCGGAAGAAGCCCTTACCTTGTCCTCACACTCGAGACTTACGCGAATAAGGGGGTTTGTATCAGCATTTCCAAACATAATAAAACATTTGAAAACGACATATACATTATAACTCTCTCATTTTATTTTTATTAGTTCAATTTTTTACGTTGGTTTCTGTCTATTAAATTTAATCTAAAACTTCAAGTTGTAGTCTAAAATCCCAGAAAATCGAACAATTAAGCTCAACGAAACATCGAAGTATTGATCGGTCTCTTGGTAGTTCAATTATTCTCCGTTATTCTTGTTGTGACATACATATCTTGATTGATAATTTAACTATCGAACGTAGAAATTTCTTATATTTATGTTTAAAAATGCTAATGAACGAGTCAATCAGAACATATTCAAAATTAGTTAAATTTTCACAATGGTTTTGAGGAAAATAAAAATAAAAACAAAATGTTTTTTATTTCCAAACATTTAGGAAAATATGGCATTGTTTTTTAAGGTTGACGTGGAAATTATTTTGCTTTATTTTCTTCACTAATGATGAAAAAATTAAAAATTCCAACGGTCGTCTTGGGGTTTGACGAATGCTTAGGAAGAAGACGACCTCTTCAGTCTTCACTCGTTTTCTGCGTTAAAATTCAAAGTCTGCGTTTTCTTTAATAAATATTTTAATTTTTTTTAATCATTTTAAAACATTTTAAAAATATTTCCATTTTTTCCAACATTTTTTTAAACATTTATCTTGTAGAATCTCAATTAATTTCTTTAAAACGTTTAGCAAAATAAATAAATAAATAAAGTATTATTAAATTATGTTTTTATTAATGGTTAATTTATGACTTCAAACTTAAATTTTTATATAGTTCACGAAAATTAAAAATATCTAATAATTCTCTGAACTTTTAATGTTATCTTTAAAATTTATAAAAATTTATATCCAACTTAAATTTATTAATTTCAAATTATCTGTAATTGTGTTAAATTATAAATTGGGTCACGGTGAGAACGGAACATTCCTGATAAGGGTGTGGAAAACTCTATCTAAGCAAATATATTTTAAAACCGTGAGACTAATGACAATACATAACAGGTCAAAGTGAACAATATTTGGTAGCGGTAGACTTGACAAAGCCCATTATAATAACAAAAAAATTGTTTTTATATTGATTTTTAGAAAAATAAAAATAAAATTGCTAAGATAGGCTTAAAAAAGACTGAATTTGCAGAAGGGGGAAAGTGGGGGTGTAGACGGAATAAAAAGGGGGCGTTACCGACCTTTTTATTGTCCATTCCACCCCTTTTCTTTTCTTTTATTCCAAACCAACCCCCTTTATTTACACTATTCTCATTTTCTACCCACCATTTTCTCCCCTCTTTCTTAAAATTATGCTAAGGTTTCAAATTCAGCTCACTATGCCTACAAATGGATAGAGATTTTTTTTGGGTATTAATGCAATTTATAAATATAGGCTCAATTATTTATCCTTTTATTTATTTATTTATTTATTTATTTTTGTACAATTTTATCACGGCCTACAAATTTAAAACTATAACTTTTTATTATTATTATTATTTAAAAGATAAATAACTGATATAATATAATTTTAAGTAGAGAT